CGGTAGTGCGATGGCCCAAGAACAAATTGGCTGGCTCAACATGCATGTACGTAGCCCAAGTAGTCTTACCTTGGGCTGCTTCGATTGGTTCAGCTACTTGTTGTATTTAATTTGCTTTCGTCACTTGCGTCGATCTGGTTAAGACGACGGCACGTTGTTGGTTTTCTTTTTACAGCATGTTGTCCATTTGCAGCCATGCTTGCAGGTTGCCTGCTGTCATATCAACTACTCCAACCATTTGTCCTGTCTCTTCCCCTCCCGTAATTTGAATTCCCCATAAACTCCAAATGCACCAGCAAGGCCGCCATGGCTGAGCCTTGTCCATACTCCAACTCTTAACAAGAAATCCACAATCGAAATCGTCATTACCTCCTCCCCTCTCTCCTTGTGTGCAAACCACGTCACAAATGGTGGCCAGATTTGCCTCAACGATGAAGTAGTTGTTGATGTGGAGATGTTATGTAGAAACTTAAATTAGTTTTCATATGATTTGGAGCATGTTTCTCCTGGTTGATAAAGAGCTCGATGTAGATCTACATCAACAGTACAAGGACGTGGGTCGACAGCCACCTAAAGCCTTGCCTAATAGAACGGTTGGTGTGTTTGCTGCTAGGAAAAAATGTGGTCAGGCACCTAGGCATGTCACCTCCCTATTTATATATATATATATATATATATATATATATATATATATATATATATATATATATATATATATATATATATATATATGCATTGCGGGTTCAATGGTTAATTGGAACCTAGTTGGCTTAGGGTTTTGCCGCCCACCACAGCAAATGAGTTATCTAATACAATAGGCACTATATGGTGGACCTAACATTATGTTATCCTGTATGTAATCACATGCCAACATATATGTTCCCATTTTATGCAACTCAATTACTTCATGAGTTTATACTTAGAAAGTTCAAGCAAATCCATTTTGCGGGAAGAAAACATAAGGAACAATGAACATTTGCATATATATATATATATATATATATATATATATATATATATATATATATATATATATATATATATATATATATATATATAGATAGATAGATAGATAGATAGATAGATAGATAGATAGATTATATTAAACATATGAGTATGAGTCATCTTCGCTATGCCGAGCTAAAACAACATTTTGTTTGACTTACAAAGAAAAGTTCTTCTGGATAGTATACATTGCTCAGGAGATTAAATTAAAGCCCAACAAGCCCAACGTGAAGGAAACGACACATCAAACGGGTCATATAATTTGGTTTCCTGCCACTAGTTTTCGGTGTATTGTTGGCCTGTCGCTGTTTGCCGGCCGGCCGACCATACAAGCTGATAGCAACCCCAGCAGAAACTCCATGCCCACTTTATAAAACCTAGCATTGTGTTTAGTCTGACTTCATGCGTGGCATGCTCATCCACGCCTCCTCCATAAATAGCGCAGAACCACGAAGCCATCCTCAGCGCCTCTCTTCAGACCTGATCTCAGAAGTACTTATCGTTTCCAGTTCGATCAGCGACGTTAGTTGCAAGCTGCCATGGCGTCCGCTGCTTTTACTGTCAAGACGGCCGCCGTCATCATGCTGCTGCTGGTGCTGACCATGGGCCAGCTGCTAATGGCTAGTAGTGCGTCGCCGCAGCCTCGGAGGCTGCTTGCGGAGGAGGGGCGCGAGGTGCCCGGGAAACAGTGCCAGCCCCGGAGAGGTGCTAGAGGTGCGACGGCTGAGGGCTCAGGGGAGGGAGGGGGCCAGGCTCATGTACACTGTAGACCCCAGCCCTATAGTCCGATGGCATTTGATAGGCAGCCTGAGACGTTCAGGATCAGGAGCGCCGAGCGCTTGCTTCCCCCGTCCGCGAGTCTACTACGTACGCGAGCGCCCAGGGCGAAGAGTCACGGTTTCAAGGAGTCACGGAGAGTCGGAGACGAAGCCACGCCGCGCCGCCGCTGGCCACCGCGGAGAGCCGGAAACACGGAAACGACGCACTCACAGGCTCGACTCGACGACGACGCGATCAGGCGGATCAGCCAGTTTATCAATCATCACTTCATTAGTTCATCGGCCGATCAGGCCCTAGCACCTAGGTATTTTTTCCCATGATCGTTTTTTAATCCAAATTAATATTTCAGACTTCCAGTACTCGTACTCATATAGTCATGTTTTTCTTTTAATTTAGGTGTTAGAATCTTAAAATGTTACCTAAGAAACACTTGTCGGGATCTCAGAAAAGAAAACGGAAAAAACTAGAAGATAAATTTATTGAATCTTATAAAGGTGCTATACATAAGTGGACATTATTGATCTCAATACCGTTCTTTGATGATTCTGCATCAAGAAGTGCCCGAAGAAGTATCTTTTTATGAGAAGTAATGGATATTATGGAGTTCTATTCTTCCATGTGGTAATCATTTTAGTTTTAGAAGTACAAATATACTATTGTTTTAGTTTACTTTTTTTTACGGTCACCGGGGGAGTTTTCGCCACCTGAATTTTATTTGGCGCTCGTGGCCCGCGATAATATTTACATAATGTTTACATTTTGAGAGAAATGGAGTTTACAGGCCACTCCTGGGCCATTTTAGTTTACATTGTTTCTCGATAATTATCAAACATGTTAAATTAAAAATATATTACTGCATTTGTTTTCGCTTTATAACAAAAATTAACATCTATATATTATAAAATTTTATATGTGGCGGCCTTCACGACGACTTCGTCAGGTGGCCCTCAAAATTCTAGGACTGGTGCTGCCAGGAAACCGGCCTCCCTGCCGGTGCTCCCTGCCGATGCTGCTGCTGCAGTAGAGAATAGACTTGGCGATCCCTGCCCACCTGGCTGCTTTCCCCTTCCTTCTTATCCCCCGATCTGTCTCTGCAAACCAGCTGGTTTGTTCGCTGGCCGCTAGATCTCTTCCGGCTGTGCGTGCCCTGTGTGGTTTTGGCTGCGACGATGGCCCAAGAATAAATTGGCTGAACATTCAAGTACGTAGCCCAAGTAGTCTTGCTTGGGCTTCGATTGGTTTAGGTGCTTGTTGTATTTAATTTGCTTTCGTGACTTGCGTCGATCTGTTTAAGACGACGTTGCTGGTTTTGATTTTTCAGTATCTTGTGCATTTGCAGCCATGCGTGGTTACCTGCTGTCAGGTGTGTACCAACTGTATGTTAATATCGTCTGTTTTAAATAAATAAATAAATAAAAGCTGCTTCCATGTGGCTGCAAAAGCCGGCTTAGCTCAGTTCATAGTTTTGGCTCAGCTCAGCCTTTCAAACACTCCGAGCTGAATCTCATTTTTATGAGACTGCCGATGGGCTCATTAAGCTCGACAAACATGAACCTACACCAAACTCTAGTTTTTTTTTTCCATAAATACCACTGCTGGAAACTGGAATTCCCTATCGGTACGGCCTCCACCAACAGAAAAAATACGAATCGTCCTGACAGTGCGTGGTAACCGACACAAATATAACCGAACCAATAGGAACAAAGATGATTTTTTTTCTATCGGTATGAATATTTCTTTCTCGGGTATTTTATAGACACAGGAAAAATACCTAAAAACTTAGGCTGCCAAGTTCTGCAGCTGAATGGATCGAGCATGCACGCGAAAAACGTCTTGAAACCCGCATCCTGCGCTAGGCAAAGGGCACCCACAATGCTATAATAGGGTTACTAGCTCTTAGTCAACCTCTCCAACAGTGTTAGCTAAATGACTCATAGTATGATTAGGCTCACATGGAACTCTCGCATGATCTTGAAATATTTGTATGAGCCTAGCTCTTGATTAAGAGCTAGCTTTTCTCTCTCTTCTATTAAAATATAAAAAAATGTTTAAAACTAGCTTATGAGTCAGCCATTGCGGGTGCCCTAAGGATTGTGTCCAAGAAAAGCAGTGGGCCAGACAATAAAAAGGAGAAAAAGCACTCCGCAAAGAAAAAAACTCTTGAGGGTTTGTTTGCATGTTCATGAATTCACCTCAATCCATATGATTGAGGTGATTAAATGCATGTCCAAACAAGGCCCGAAAAATATCCCAGGCTCTCCCCATGAAGGACCGAAAACAACAACTAAAGAGGGGCGTGAATGGGAGGGAGCCTCAAATTTATTTTTCTAAATAATTGGCCGTTGTCCCAAGATCACCGCCAAACACTTGAAGCATACACCGTGATGTCCACGACCTAAAAAAGTGGGTAAATGTTTCCTAGAAAATTGAGGACACCACAAAGCAAACGGACTGAGAAGCACTCACACCGAATCGAGGAACCGAAAATAGATACTCAACTCCTTTTGAGAAGAAGCGAGTTCCTAAATTAAAATACCCAAGCCAACTGGTCAAAAGAGTACCCAGATATATTTCTTAGATCTATGGGAATCCAATGCAAAAGACGGAACTCAATTCGAAGATCAAACGCACAAGATACGGGGAAACAACTACAGAGCCGAAAATTCTGGACTTGGCCTACAAGGGTCTCTATTTTGTTGGCTTAATATTAAGACAATACTCTCTCTATTTTAAGTTATAAGACATGTTGGCTTTTATAGATTGATAGATTTTTGCTATGCACTTACATGTATACTATGTCTAGTTGTACAATAAAGACAATGTATCCAGAAAAGCCAAAATGCTTTATAATTTGGAACGGAATTAGTATATGACATATTAATATAGGAGAACAATTCTCAGCCGAACTAGGCTTATTAGATCCAAAATGGAATGAGTACTATCATGCCGATAAGGTTGATCCTAATACGGTTGCCCCTAAATCTGTGGTGAGAGCAGTACAATTTTCTTAAACTGTGCCAATCAATTTTCAAGCAATCTGCACTTGTTCCTCCAAATCGAGAAATCACTACTGCTAAAAGGCTTTCAATGGGACAGGATCACTGCAGGCTTACAAATCATCCATCTAAGTTTAGTAAACATGAGAGCAAGGGTGGGGCGGCCGGGAGCTCACCGGTCGGCCACTCGTTTCGCTTGGGACCTTTTTGGCCACCACCATGCAAGAACCGTCACGAATCATGAGCCAAGAGACCGACGGGGAGGTTGCCGGCGTTGCCAACAGCCATGACGACAAGGACCACGTCCATGGCACGATCGGACGCGGGGCCGATGCCGATTCGGAGGAAGAAGACAACGAAGAGCATGGTGGTGGCCAGGAGCCATTCTTTCAGTGCCTTGATCAGGAGCAACAACCCCCCGACACTCTGCATTTGCACGACGCCAGGGTCGAATTTCCCTCCGACGACGACAGTGACGGTGACGACGTCCGCTTCTCCTTCGCCACCGCCGACGGTGACCACCTCCTCGAGGAGCAGGCGGAGCTGGACCTGGACGTGGAAGAGGAGGAAGAGGACACATCCAGGTATGACTACGGCACGTGGATGGCGCCGGAGCCCGTGTCCATCCAGGAGCGCCGCCGCCGGCTGCTCCAGGGGATGGGGCTCACCAGCAGCAAGGACCTCCTCCGGAGCCGGAACGCGAGGGCGAGGCTTCCGCCTGACATCCCCCGCTACGTGCCCCGGCGAAAACAGCAGCCGCCCGCGGCCGTTGCCGAAGCGCCGAACACAACGAGCGCCGCGCCGGTGGTGGCCGCGGCCCTTCCCGAGATCGCGGAACACCAGCGCAACGCTGTCCTGACCCGATCATGCTCCGATAGCCGCCTCGCCGTCCTCGGAGGCGCCGCGAGGAAGCCGTCGTTATTCTGCCGCGTGTGCTCGCTGCCGCACAGGCTGCAAGGCTCGCCGGTCCACAAGGCTCTCCGCGCGGCTGCCCTGTGTCCGTTACCATCAGCGCCGTCAAAGGACGGAGGAACTGGCAATGCCATTGCCGGCGACACGGGCGGTGGCTTCAAGCACCCGGGCAACGGCAAGGAAATCGTGGCGAACGGCCAGTTGAACGAAGCCCAGCGCAGTGCGCCGCTGAACATCGACGAGCTCCAGCGGTTCATCACCCACACGGCGTTCGTGACGCAGCCCGTGCGCCGCAGTCAGAGCCAGCCGGTGCCGGCGGCCGGGGCGGCCAAGGGCGACGAGAAACCAGTCGAGAAGAGGAGAACGCGGTGGCTCAGGAACATCAAGCTCGTCGCGTCTGCCGCCGGGATCAGAACCGACAAGGAGAAGCAGGACGGCGACGGCGGCGGCGGCGGCGGCGGCGGCGGCAGCAGACCGGCACGGACGCCTTCGGTGACCATGTCCAAGTCGGCGTCGGCCCACGCCGCCGTGTCGTCGGCCGCCACGGGGCCCGAGCGGCTCAAGGTGCACCACTACGGCAAGTCCAGCAGGGAGCTGACCGGGCTGTACATGCGGCAGGAGGTGCGCGCGCACGAGGGCTCGATATGGAGCATCAAGTTCAGCCCCGACGGCCGATTCCTCGCCAGCGGCGGCGAGGACAGTGTGGTGCGCGTCTGGGAGGTCTTGAACGTGGACGTCTCCTCGTCCGCCGTGGCGCAGGAGCTCTCCACCTCCCTGCCTCCGCAGCCGCCGCCTGCATCCACGGACGGCAGGTCGGCGGCGGCGGCGCCGGGGCTGGCGGCGCAGTTGTCCAGGAGAGTGAGGAGGGGGAGGAGCAGCAAGGACGTGCTCCCGGAGCACGTCGTCGTTCCGGAGTCCGTGTTCACGCTCGCCGAGCAGCCGTCGTGCGCCTTGGAAGGCCACCAAGACGACGTGCTCGACCTGTCGTGGTCCAAGTCCCAGGTTTGCACGCCGTTGCACTCTGCCTGCCATTGTTGCCGCGATTGTTGCTGCTCCGTAAAAAGAGAGCGTGACGTGCGTGCCGTGGGCGCCATCGTTGGTTGCAGCAGCTGCTGTCGTCGTCCATGGACCACACGGTGCGGCTCTGGGACGTGGTCACCAAGACGTGCCTGAGGGTGTTCCCGCACAGTGACTACGGTGAGTTTGCTAGCCTGCACTTGTCTGCAGGTTGTGTTTGCATAGCGACTGATCTTGATTGTGCGCGCCATGAACGCCGCAGTTACCTGCGTGCAGTTCAACCCGGTGGACGATGGCTATTTCATCAGCGGCTCGCTGGACTGCAAGGTGCGCATCTGGAGCGTGCCGGACCGGCAGGTCGTCGACTGGAGCGACCTCAACGACATGGTCACCGCGGCGTGCTACACCCCGGACGGCCAAGTGCGTTGCCTTGCCTATGCATTATACTCAGTTACTCACTTATTATTGCACCAAACTACAAAAGCAAATTCCAAAATGTTCATGTCACTGATATATAGCTGACAGTTTTCGCCTTTTCTAGGCTGCGATTATTGGGTCGCACAAGGGGAGCTGCCGATTCTACAAGACAACAGGTGCGTGCAGAATTCAGATTCATTCAGTCCTGTGCTGAACTGCTGACAAGTAACTATCATTTCCATGTCAGATTGCAAGCTTAACCAAGAGGCACAAATCGACATGAGCATAACAAAGAAACGCAGATCGCAGGCCAAAAAAGATCACAGGATTCCATGTATGTCCATTACTGTTACTTGATTGATTCCACGAGCTCACCTGTAATAGTTCCATTATCTATAAAAAAAACAAAGTTGCATTGGTTGTGTAGTTTGCGCCGGGGAACCCGTCAGAGATCTTGGTGACATCGGCGGACTCGCAGATCCGGGTGTTCAACGGCATCAGCGTCCTCCAGAAATTCAAAGGTACGCGGCCATGGCGGCGAGCGCACGCCCCAGCCTTCCCTTGCACGCATCAAGGACGCCATGCACGAACTCCGCAACCCAAAAAGGGAACCCGTGTTTCTTCCTGCCAGGCTTCAAGAACACCAGCAGCCAGATCTCGGCGTCCTACACCGCCGACGGCCGCTACGTGGTGTGCGCCAGCGAGGACTCCAACGTCTACGTGTGGCGCCGTGTCCCCGGCAGCGTCAGCGGCGTTGGCGGCGGCGGAACGGGCGGCGGCGGCGGCGGCGCCAGCATCAGCGTGAGGGCCAAGACGTGGCTCACCAGCCGCTCCTACGAGTACTTCTTCTGCCGGGACGTGTCCGTGGCCGTGCCGTGGCCCGGGTCGCCGCCGTCCTTCCCGCCGTGCGACGCGTCCCGGAACGGCAAGAGCGATACGCCCAGGAAGCAGCAGAGCTCGTCGCGCCATGACGACGTCGTGGGCGGCGCCGGCGGCTGCGTACCACGGGGGACCAAGTCCGGGCCGATGGCGTACCACGGTGGGGGCGGGCAGCTGCTGCGGCCAGAGCTGTCCCGTCGTGAGTCGCAGTCCTCCGCGCGGTGGCACGGCGGCGCGGAGGGCGGCAATGCGTGGGGGATGGTGTTGGTGACCGCGAGCCGTGGCGGCGAGATCCGTGTGTACCAGAACTTCGGGCTGCCTTTGGCCAACCTCTTCCACTGATGAACTGATATACAAGAAGAAATTTTAGGAAAAGATATACGAGATGAATAGAAGTGTGGTACAAATGTGATCACAAATGTTATGTATCAATCAGTGCCATGACGAGCAGACGCCACGAGCTTTTTGTGTAAAGCTAGTTGGGGTTTTCCTTAGTTCTGAAAATAGGTCGTGGGTAGAACTGCATCGTTGATCTACTGACTCCTGCAGAGAAGGCAACTCATGGTGTAGACAAGATAAAACGTCGAAAGATCTCTGCGATAATTCGCCTGCTGGACTGCTGCCTAATCTGGTAAATTCTCAGATTCATTCATATATAGTATTGAGCAACAATTTGCAAGAGCTGAGAAGTTAACAAATCCTATCTGTTTTTTTTTTCCATACAAGGACATCGTGTAGACAGACGGCTGTCATTGCTAATGGAGTTCAGAGGCAACAATCAAGATATAAACTCTGGTAGTAAATAAAATGGATCAAACCATAACTACTGTGATATTTATCTTTGATTAAGTAAAATATTCATCGAAGATTTCCAGTTCCATTTGAATCCACTTGGGCGCGTATAAAATGACTCTTTGTGGATGATGTGCGACTGTGTGAGCCAATTTATCAAGGAAAAAGAAAAAAGGGGAAAAAAAAACTGGCAGCTAGAGAACCGGCCTTCACTGCTGGCATATACTACTGTTCAGAACTGGTAGTAATGCTCCATCTATAACCAGTACAACAGCTCCGCCCAGATCAATCATTGGCTCACGAGGAATTAGTAATGATGCTGGATATGTCACTGCAGACTGTAGCTGCAACTGATATATCTGTATTATAAAATGCAAAAAAAAAATGTGTCACCAAATAGATTTCTAACCACATTATGTCTTATATCCCATAGATGTTCTTTGGAAAACAGATCTAATGCGTATAAATAAGCTTCTATCCAGCAGAGACCATTCCTTGGCAGTGGTTCTAGATATTTTTTTGAAAGGTCACGGGGATGAATTATCTTGGCCCACCTGAATTTCGTACCATAGATTATATATGGCAAGAGCTGGTAACGGTAGTTATATTATTATAGGTCATGAATCCAGAGTCACAAAAGTAAAAAGGTGAGAAAAAGAGCACCAACAACACCACACTGCCAAGAAATGGTAATGGTTGTCCCTGTGGCTGTTGGTAATGGTTGTTTACCTTTGTGGTGTTAGTGGTCATAAATATTGCTGCAGCGTAACGAGGAAATAAGAGAGACCATTCATTCAACATGCTTTCAGTTCAAAATCGTCGGCATGAAGATTTTTCCTAATGATGCATGGAAAATTAATAACAGACTCTGGTTTCTTTATATTTTTCATACAATTATGTAACATCTTTGTTCCCCTTCGGCTTCATCTAGATATAGCTGAAACATTTTAGTGTAGTAAAAAATGGGTTGTGTGCTTAAGCAAGCACATGTCATAGACAATTCGTGAAACACAGAGACGCCCGTGTCGCCTCCTGCACGGGCGGCTCAGGCGGCAAAACCCTAGACGCCGCCGCTGCTACTCCATCCCTCCCTTGCCATCACCACTGCTAGACGGAGCGGCCGGGAGGCCCACACGGCTCCCTATGATGGCGGCGGCGAGGCTCCTTGCCTAGCTCGGCCGCGAGCCCCTCCGTGCAGGAGACGTGCTTGGCGGCCGGGGTGGCAACACGGCTTGGAGCGGGCATCGCAGGCTGCTGCATCGCACCATCTCTGTTAGAGTGCGTAACGGAATCCGGACCGACTCGCTACACCACGAGCCCGTGCCCCTCGGGCCTAGGTCCACCGGAGCCCACAACATACCAAGGCCTTGGACCTAACTCAACCCAAAAGACTCGCCTTATAGGTGAGGACTGCCCATGCCTTATATGTTGTGCTCCCCCACCATCAATTACCGATGTAGAATTAAACCTAACAATCTCCCCTATCACACATCAGACCCAACTCTTCACATCACACAACCCCCGTGCAATCTACAGAAGACGTTATCCAGGCCCCGAGTCCAACGCTCCATATCACACACAATTCATGTGACCTCCGAGACGTTAACAGGCTCCCCCGTCACCATGTGACCCCTAAGATCTTCCTAGTTTTTTTCCAACCTGGCTCCGATACCACTTGTTAGAGTGCACAACAGAATCCAACCCGACTCGCTACACCACGAGCCAGTGGTCCTCGGGCCTAGGTCCATTGGAGCCTACAACATACCAAGGCCTTGGGCCTAACTCAACCCAAAAGACTAGCCTTATAGGTGAGGACTGCCCATGCCTTATATGTTGTGCTCCCCCACCATCAATTATAGATGTGGGACTAAACCTAACAATCGTCCACACCCCACCCCTCCATCTCTAACCTCGTTGTCGCTTGAGCAGGTGTGGCGGCGGTTGGCACATACCCCCTCCTCCTCCTCATCTCCGACAAGTTCCGACGGCCGGTTCCGTCTCCCTCCCCATCACTCCTCCTCCTCTACCCCCTCCACACTCTTCTCTAGCGATGATCGTCAGCGATCGGACGGATCCGTGCTCCCTAGGGCGGTGGTGTCGTCCGGGCGACCTAAGGCGTCTCCAGGGCCGCGCGCCCCTGGATCGGCAGCCAACTAGCCAGATCTAGGTCCCTAGTGGCCTGATCTACCTCCTCGACTATTGGCCGTGGTCAGCCTACCCCAACGCAGGGAGTGCCTATGGCCTCTGCTGGTGTCCATGACATTCGGGGTCAGCGAACGGCTGGCTGTTGGCTGTTGACGATCACTAACACCCATTTTGACCATCAACATTTCACCCAAAAGTATAGAAAAGTAAGGTAAATCATCATCACATGTGTAGAATTTTGTTAATAATTCACCTAGTTCCACTTGTGCTTATAGAATTATTTGTATGCAGGAAATATGGCAAAATTTGGCTAAAAAGGTGACAAACATGGACCAAGGAAGCAAATGGACATGATAGGAGGCCTTGTGCCCACTTGTGCCCACCAACCGACCCCGCATGGGCACCGCCCCACCCCCAAGTGGCCCTGCCATGTCATTGATCCGTGGGAGCTGCTCCAGAGCCAATCACAAGCTTCCATTCAAGTCGGTTTGATCAATGGACAAGATTTGTTCATGGTGGATTCATGGGCCCATTGTCATAGACTTGGGAGCTCTCCACCGACTTACCTGCCAAGTTTCACCACGTGCTGGCTTCACAATCGCCTTGAAGGAGCAACCAGCACCCTTGGATGCAAAGGCGGTGCATCCAAGGTCCGGCCCACGCCCTACTGCCGCCGGCCGGCGCCCTACTTAGTCATTAGTGTTTATTTTAGTACTTTATTCTAGTATTATTGCTTTGCTTTACTTTAAGTACTTAGTCATTAGTGTTCATCATTAGTGAGCTTAGGTGCTTGTTGTTTGGCATTAGTAGCATAGGCTATCTTATAATTAGTAGTTTTTTGTTAGTACCGGTTCCACCGTCTGGTTAGGGTGCTTTGATCTTATTTCATCGGAGCTCGGATCGAAGTAGTAAGCCAGTAGATTAAGTGTGATGCTTAGGCTATAGATTACCTATGGATACGGCTAGACCTCCGGATAGATTGTGGTAGGTGGCAAGTGGTGACTGCCTTGTCCATCCTCTGTATTCTACCATGTTAGGTCTAGTTATTAAATCGTAGGGCTCGTGGTAGACCTTGTCTATTTAACTCTCCTAGTTGGTAGGCGGGCTGTGCCCTGAAGTACTATCGCATTTCTCCTAGTCATTTGTTTACCCTTAGTTACTAGAAAGATAAAACGCTCGCTCTCCCACCTAGCTATCTCTAGGTTAGCTTGTTAGTAGTAGTTAGTTTAGGTAGTTCACATTCACCCTTCACTATCGTTCACCTACCTAGGATCAACCTTAGCCTTGCCTTAGCAAATCCTAGTCCAATTATAAATTCTAGCCTTCCGCCTTCTTGTGGGAAAAATATAAATTCGACACTCGGTACTCACCGAGCGAAGTGCTACACGATAGTTCTGTGCGCTTACAAAATCCTCCAATAGTCGTTAAGAAATAGCAACACTGGCTAGCTCCGGAATGCGTCTACCGGGTCTGCGACTTGTGCACCTACCAGCTCACGGCAATGGTGGACGGCCTCCCTAGCCGGCTGGTGGACGGAGCTATGGTTAGGCACCACTGCGGCCAAGGAAGGGGCGGCAACGGCCTCACAGCATGACGACGGATGGTAGCTAGGCTAGCGACTGGTGACCGTGGCGACCACCTTCTTCGGCGTCGATCCAATGACTTGGTGTTGTGGCTCCTGCCCAATGCTGGTGGAGCTTAGATCCAACCCTTCCGGTCTTGATCTGGTTCTTCGCTGGCTGTTCGCATGTTGTCACGGGCGGATCCACACATGTGCGTTGAGTGTGGGAGCGATGCGTCTGACTTGATTGCTGCGGGCTTCGGTGGTCTACGAGCGTGATAACGTACAACTACAGTGGACCACGGGAGCATGTCCTTGGCCACGTAGTCAGGGCTGTGTGTGGTTGTGGTGGGCACAAGTGTGGGGCCACGATCATGGGCGAGTTCAGGAATGACCCCGCGTGGTGTGGTGGCGGCCAGCACCCCTCCATCTAGGTGCTGATGGCTGCTAGCACACGCCTCCCGCTGTCGTGGGCGAGTCTGACAGTGGTTCCATGTAGTGTAGCAATGACCAGCACCCACCCTCTGTCCAGGCACGCACACTTGCCAGTGTGTGCAATGTGGCGGCGACCAAAACACTCCTCCGTCCATGCATAGATGCCTATCGGTGCGCACCTCCCACCATCGCTGGCGAGTCCAACAATGGCTCCACGCTGTGTGGTGGCGACCGGCACCCCCCTTCATCTAGGCGTAGACGCTTGCCAGTGTGCGCCTCCCACCATCGTCGGTGAGTCAGGGAACGGCTCAATGAGGCGTGGTGGTGACTGACACCCTCCTCCATCCAGGCGCGGACGCTTGCCAGTGCGCGTCTCCTATCCTCATGGGTGAGTCTAGGAAAATCTTTT